GATAACTACAGATAATCCAACACAACATCAGGTTTAGTAAAATTTACCTTGGACATCTTTCATTGAAATCGAAATTGTAGAGATTCCCGATTCTTTTAGGACAAATCGAGACTATTAGAGAGTTTTAGATTTACGTTCACGGCAAACGTGAAACGTCAGTTGACCAGTAAAACATTTTTTTAAATCACTGAAAAAGAATCGCAAGAAAAGTCCAAGTATAGTAGAAAAACAAAAGAGTATTTGCGCTTGGTGAGAAGATTTGTAAAAGGTAATGTAAAATACAGGAAAACTATGAAAACGTGGTCACGTTTGCCGTTTGCGGGGAGAAAAAAAAAGTCAATCTAAAACTCTCTATTAGCGGAGCTCCTGCGCGGGCCGAAGGCCGCATGCGCGGAGCACCATACTTAGGGTGGAACCAAACTCATTCAGAGCGAATTTTGGACAATTTTATTCTCGCTCCCTTCGCAAAACTAGTGAGTCAATTTAACTGTATTTTTCATATAATGTGCTTGGATTATCCTAGATTCTAACAGTGTATTTTATTTTAAGATTTTTAAAATGTTTAGCCTATTACGGCCAAAAATCAAACTGTGCTATTTTTAGTTTTTGGCTTTTTTCTCCTCATTCTCATGTACGATTTTTCTGAAATTTTCAGAATCTTATCATCTAGTACTATTGCAGCGTGTGTATAAATTTGGATGGAACGTCTTGGGCAGGAAAAAAGTTATGACGCCGCTTCAAAATTCGATCCAAAATTTGAAGCATATAAGACATCGCGCTGCAGAAGCATTACCATTGAATGGATTGCCTCGAAGTTTTCAAATACCTATTTCCAAGTATTGCGGATGAGCCTTACGAAACATCAGCATCAAATCTTAAAAACACTTCTAGATCCATCTTTGACTACATGGAAGTTGTTTTCATTTGCTGTTGGTCTATAATTAGTCCTAAACCTATTTTTTCTGTGCATTTGACTGATCCGCATTTGCGAGTAGTTTTGCTTTGACATCAAGTGGGATTACTGTGTTGTGTGCACGAATACCGTACTTACGGACGGAAGTGACGTCAACCAAGCCATAAAAAATCAACTCGATTGTTTACCATTTTTTCTTAAGTATGGTACTCCGCTCATGCGGGCCTTCGGCCCGTGCGGGATCTCCGCTATAATTCCTCCTTCAAGGATAGTTCACAATTTATTAATATTTGCGTTCAAATGAAATTAAGGAAAGAGATAATACCATATTGTTGTAACTTACTGCAAATAACACTAGCATCTTCACTATGACCACAGTTGTGTGTTCCCCAACCATTATGTGAACATTGACTCAGTGAAGATTCAGTTCCTTGACAGTTAACATTATCCAGCCATATTTGACCACTTCCCTGACCATATGCTGCGCTGTGCGCTGCGCTTATTGCTTTTGTGAAACCAAAAGAACGACAGACAACATCAGCATCATCAAGATCCCAGCTGTCATCACAAATCGTCCCCCACTGCTGATTGTAGAAAATCTCTACTCGTCCTTCGTTTGCCTTTGATCCTCCAGCTAGGCGTAACGTATCTGGGTGATTAAAATATTTACATGCATGATTTCCAGCAAAAATATAATATGACAATAATTTGAAGGAAATCACGTTAGTTTAAGTGCATATGCAGCCCGAAATAATTGTCAAGAGACTTGATTTACTATAATAAGCTCTTTACAGCTTCGGAAAGTTATTTTGTTTTTGAATGTATAACGACCTAATAGTATTAAGAGAATAAAATAACAAAAGACATAGCGGCCATGTTGGAGGATATAACAAAAGAATTGACAATTATTTTGTTACAGTAATGATGAAAAGGTAAATTATACACCGTGAAAAGATGAAAAAACTTACTGACGTTTCGGACGCTAGTCCTTCGTCGGA